TCCTCCTCAACATCCATAGCCTCATCAGCAGTAGCCTCATCATCATCCAAAGGCTCTAAGAATGCGGGACCAGTCCTGCATAAGAATGTTGCACTCTCAGTCAAGGGGTAGCGCTCCGCCATGGTCTCCATCTCCGCATCTGTAACAGGACGGCCACCTATCCGCAGCTGCAATTTCGCCATCCCAAACATTCTTGCCATGACACTGTCATCACGGGCTTGCCTCTCTTGGGCAGACAAGACATGTCCATGAGACGTGTCTAGTGCCTTGGTGCGGGTCACATCAACCAACTTACCCGTCAGATTCTGGTGATAAGCAACGGTCATGTCCACTGATTCCTCTTCAATACCTTCAGCCCTCAGAAAATGGGTTATCAACCCCCCGTAACAGAATCTCCACCTCAAATTGTTCCGAAATTTCATCATATTTTGCCTCAGGATTGCCCTAACATTAATGGGCATTCCCTTCATCAGCATATAGACTAACACCACCTTATCTCTTGTCATCTCAGTTAAATGTTTGGCAGGCAACAACACACTACACACTATCTTCAGCCATACCCTAGCAACCTGATTAAAGTTAGCAAAATGGAGGGTATTATGCCTCCCAGTATCCTTACTCCGCTCCTACCTAGCAGTCGAATCAACCCCATACAAGGTATGTCGGATATCCCTATAAGGAGGTTTATCCTTCAAGTTATTAAACTCATCAGGGTCACAATTCGGGGTACCTAACAACTCATTCAGAATTCGGGCAGAAAACTTGACATTTTTCCCCCAAACAAGCACATTTTTATATTTTGTTTCAGTTAGCCAATTAGCATAAAATTCTCTCACTAACGTCAAATTGCAATCTCCCAGATTGTCAAATATAAACCTCAGTCCCAACTCAATCACACTTCGATAAATAACAGGAAATTGCGACTGCAACCTTACCTCATTCACAAATTCATTGCCCATATACTTCTCCTCTTGTTGGCAGGCGAACCATTCCCAGTCATACCTTTCCACAGCCTTTTTACCAATTTTTTGCACCGGTTCCCGGGCACTAGAGGTCCCAAAAGTTTCACCCTTTCTATTCCGCTTGGAACCCGCCACATTTTTTGCCTTTGGGGCCATCTCAACCTGTTAAGAAAACAAAACTAGAGAAAAGGAAAAAAAATTAAGAAAAATTAGGGGGGGGGGTCGGAGTAGGCAATGGGTGAAGGTGAAGAAGGAAAAAGAAATTTTTTTGGGAATGATGGTGGAAAAGTGAAAAAGAAGTGGGGAAGTGGAGGTTATATAGTTGGTGGGGGGAAGAAGAAGAGTTTGGTTGGTTGTTTTAATGGATAAATTGGGAGTGTAATGGAGGAAGGAGAAGAGTTAGGGAAGAAGAATGGAGAAAAGTTTGGAGGATTTTAGGAGTTGGATCGGTTAGGATTTAGGGGAATGGGGGAAGAATGTGGGATTTTGGGGTTATAAGGGGAGTGGGTCGGGTGTGAACCGGGTCAAAACCCGGTTAAATTTTTTTTTGGGCAGTGGGGCGATGAGAGGGGCGACGAGCCTCTCAGCGCGCCTGACCCCCCATTTTTTTTATTATTACACACTAAGTTACAAATAATGAAAGAAAATCCTATCTAGCTATAACTAACCTATATTCTAAGAATTGAAACTATGCTAAAACAAAAATTTCAAGAATTAAAAAATGAACTACCTATCTATTACATATTGTTCATGGGTTGCCTCCCATGTAGCGCTTGATTTAACGTCGCGGCACGACGCAACTTGGATCATTCATCATTTAGCTCAAGAGCTTCCCGATCACAATCCGAATCCTCACCGAAATAGTGTTTCACCCTTTGCCCATTGACCAAGAACGTAAGGCCAGTCTTATCTTTGAGTTCAACCGCTCCATGTTGTGTCATTCTGACCACTTCGAAAGGACCACTCCACTTTGACCTTAGTTTTCCAGGGAATAACTTTAGTCTAGAGTTAAAGAGTAGTACTTTATCTCCCGGATTAAAAGTACGAGCTACTATGTGCTTGTCATGCCACCTCTTCGTATTTTCTTTGTAGAGCTTGGCATTCTCATACGTGTGCAGTCTGAACTCCTCAAGTTCATACAACTGATTCACTCTCTTTTTACCGGCTGGCTCAGGGTCCAAATTCAACCTTTTAATTGCCCAATAAGCTTAATGTTCTAATTCTACCGAAACATGACATACTTTACCAAACACTATGTGATAGGGTGAAGTCTCTATTGGTGTCTTATACGCAGTCCTATATGCCCACAATGCATCATCTAATTTCTCAGACCAATCTTTTCGTTGCGCATTCACCATTTTCTGCAAAATTTGTTTCACCTCTCTATTCAAGACCTCCACTTGGCCACTCGTTTGAGGATGGTAAGCTGTAGCAACCTTATGACGAATACCATACTTAGCAAGAAGGTTTTTAACAAGATGATTCATGAAGTGTTTACCTCCATCACTTATAATTGCCCTTGGAGTGCCAAAGCGAGTGAAGATGTGCTTCTTTATGAACTTTATCACCACCCTTGAATCATTTGAAGGGAGAGCGACCGCCTCAACCCATTTACTAGCATAATCCACAGCCACAAGAATGTATTGGTTCCCACTAGATGGTGGGAATGGACCCATGAATTCAATACCCCACACATCAAAGATTTCCACCTCCAAAATGTTGCTTAGCGGCATCTCATGTCTTATTGAAATAGTACCCAACCTTTGGCATTTATCACAGCCCTTCACAAAAGCAATAGAATCTTTAAATAACGAGGGCCAAAAGAAACCAGATTGCAGTACATTATAAGCAGTACGCTCTCCTCCATGGTGACCTCCATATGGGCTAGCATGACAACTCTCGCGTACTTGGTGAACCTCAGACTCCGGAATGCACCTCCTTACTACCCGGTCTACACCTTGCTTGAACAAGAATTGTTCATCCCAGATATAGAACTTGGCATCATGATTGAGCTTTTTCTTTTGTTAGGTTGTTGCACCGGGAGGATACTCTCCACTTACTATCAAATTCACAATGTCTGCATACCATGGCACTTGAGAGATATTTAATGCCATCAATTATTCATCTGGAAACTCATCCCGGATTTGCTCACCTTCATTCACATGTGAAAAATCCTCCAACCTAGATAAGTGATCTTCTATTTGATTCTCAGTAACTTTTCTATCTTCGATCTCAAGGTCAAATTCTTGGAGAAGCAATATCCATCGAATCAGCCTTGGTTTAGCATCCTTCTTGTTGAATAGGTACCTAATAGCTGCATGGTCAGTAAAAACAATCACTTTAGTACCTACCAAATATGATCTGAACTTGTCGAAGGCTAACACTAGAGCCAACATCTCATTCTCAGTCACCGTGTAATTAGCTTGTGTAGAGTCAAGGGTCTTGCTTTCATAATAGATCGAGTGGAACACTTTATTCTTTCTTTGTTCCAACACTGCACCCACTGCTACGTCACTTGCATCACACATGAGTTCAAATGGTAATTCCCAATCAGGAGCAATTAAGATAGGAGCTTCAATTAAGTTCCTCTTCAACCTCTCAAAAGCTTTTAAGCACATCTCATCAAAGTCAAACTTCACCTCATTCTCTAAGAAACTGCACATAGGTCTTGCAATCTTGGAAAAATCCTTGATGAATCGCCTGTAAAATCCTGCATGACCAAGAAAACTACGCACACCTTTTACAGAAATGGGAGGGGGATTTTTCTCAATTACTTCTACCTTAGCCTTATTAACCTCCAAAACAAATTTAGACACCTTGTGTCCCAACACTATTCCCTCTCTTACCAAAAAATGACACTTTTCCCACTTTAGAACTAAGTTAGTATCTTCACATCTAGCAAGCACTTTATCAAGATTTCGGAGACATACCTCAAAAGACTTCCCAAAGACAGAAAAATCATCCATGAACACCTCAACAAAGTCTTCCACCATATCATGAAAAATGGCCATCATACACCTTTGAAAAGTCGCCGGTGCATTGCAAAGCCCAAATGGCATGCGTTTGAAAGCATATGGGCCATAAGGAAAAGTGAATGTGGTCTTTTCCTGATCCTCGGGTGCAATCAAGTTCTGGTTGTAACCAAAGTATCCATCTAAGAAACAATAGTACTCCTACCCTGCTAGTCGGTCAAGCATTTGATCAATGAAGGGAACGGGGTAGTGATCTTTTCTGGTAGCATCATTTAGTTTTCGGTAATCCATGCAAATTCTCCACCCGGTCACTATTCTAGTAGGAATTAACTCATTCTTTTCATTCCTTACCACTGTCATACCTCTCTTCTTGGGAACACATTGTACTGGACTTACCCACTTTCTATCAGAGATTGGGTACACAATTTCAGCATCTAGCCACTTTATGACTTCCTTTCATACCACTTCTTTCATCACATGATTTAATCGATGTTGATGTTGTGCTTTGGGTTTGTGATCCTCTTCCATGTAAATTATGTGCATGCATAAAGCCGGACTAATCCCATGAATATCAGCCATCTTCCATCCAATTGCTTTCCTCTTCCGCATTAAGATCCTCAATATCGCATCAACCTGTAAGTCAGACAATTCTGCAGAAAGTATAACATGCAAGATTTCATTAGTACCCAAATAGGCATACCTTAGGTGACCTGGCAAAGTTTTTAGTTCCAACGTTGGGGCTTCTTCTATTGATGGCTTTGGTGGGGGCCCCAACTCGCGATCTAGTGACTCCACTTGATTCCTACGAGTGTGTACTAGTGCTAGATTTAAGCATGATTCAATCTCTTGAGCTTCAGTGTCTCCCTCTATCTCATGACCCACTAACACTCTTTCTAAAGGTACTTCGGGCACAACTACTTGTGATTCTACTATGCGATCAACCACAATAATAGCAGACAACTCTTCATAACAAGAAGGTAATTTTAAAGTGTGGTAAACATCAAATACCTCTACCTTATCATGTGCCCTCATGGTTAGTTGACCAACTCCTACATCAATCAATGCCCTACCCGTGGCCAAGAAAGGTTGTCCCAAAATGAATGCATGGAACTTCAGAATCGGCTTCAAAGTCTAAGACCACAAAATCTACCGGAAAAATCAATGAACCTACTTGCACTAACACATCTTCTACCGCCCCCTCTGTCCTAGCAATGGATCTATCTGCAGGTTGGAGAATAACAGTGGTTCGCTTTGGACTACCTAACCCAAGCTTTTGATATAAAGATAGAGGCATTAAATTTATACTTGCCCCCAAATCACACAACCCTCGGGCATGAACACTTTGCCCAATTGTAATCTGCACAGTAAAACTACCCAGATCTTTTAACTTTTTGGGCAATCTGTTTTTGGATCCTTGAGCTGCACTCCTCAGTAAGTGCTACAGTTTCATATTCAGTTAGTCTCCTCTTGCTGGCCACTATGTCCTTCACGTATTTAGCATACTTCGAGATACCCTACAAAATGTCAACCAAAGGTAGATTAATGTGAACTTGTTTAAAGAGAGAGAGAAACTTACCAAAGCATTCATCTTCATTCTGCTTTTTCAGCCTTTGTGGAAATGGAGGTGGTAATTTCTTTTGAGGAATGGGTACCTCAACATTGGAGCTTTTTACTACCTCTTCCACCTTCTTTTCTTTGTTACTAACCTCAATGTCTCTTTTCTTTGGAGCTAGTTCCTCTAATTGCAGCCCACTTCTACTACTTACCGCATGCAATTGCTTTGGATTTGTCTTAGTATCACCGGGAAGCCCTCCCAGAGGACGCAAGTTCAAGGAATTAGCCACTTGCACAACTTGTTTCTCTAAACTCATTTGGGACATCTGGATGTTTCTAATGTTCTCATCCTGCTTATCTAATCTAGAATTTAATTTGGTCCCTATTTCAGTCATGAGCTTTTGGAGTAGTTCTTCATTGGTTATTCCCCCTTTTGGTGCACTAGAATTTGAGCTTTGGTTAGGATTGTAGTATTGTTGCCCATGCCCTTGAGAACGGTATTGGTTAACCCCTTGCGCCTGATTTTGGTTTTGGTTCCACCCCATGAGAAGTTAGGATGGTTCTTCTAACTAGGGTTGTAAGTATTACCATAATTTTGTTGCACTCCACCCCTTTGCGCATTACCCACATAGTTTACGGAATCTGGGTTTGCCTCACATTGCTCAGTTTCATGAGTTCCGCTACCACAGACCTCACACCAATTTGTTGCCTTTTGTACTACGTTTATCGGAGCCTGATTTAGAGCTATTTGTTTAAATTGCAATGTAATGTTATGTTGCATTGCATCTAATTTGGCATTTATGGCAGTAGCTTGGTCTACATCTAAGATCCCTGCAGCCTTTTGGGTAGGGGTTCTAGACATTTCCCCCTCATACCCTTGGTTCCCTTCTGAAATTTTATCAAGTAGGGCGAAGAACTCTTCGCTCATTATGGATAGGGCTTGTCCACCTGCTGCACTATAAAGAAGAGAACGAGCATTATAGTCTAAACCTTCAAAGAAAGTGTGAGCAAGTACCTCATTGGTTTGCATGTGGTGTGGGCAAGCAATCAACATTTGTTTGAAACGTGCCCATGCTTGGTACATGTCCTCCCCTTGCTTTTGACCAAAGTTTATTAACTCCCCCTCAACTTCACGATTTTCTTGGATAGGAAAAATCTACTGAGGAACTTCTTTACTAGATTATCCCAAGTGGTGATGGAGTTTGGTGGCTCAAAGTCTAGCCAACGTCTTACAGCTCCTAACAATGAGTATGGGAACAAAGTCAACCTTACATAGTCCGATGAGACTCCAATTGGGATGTATGTATTGGTGATGTCTGTAAAAGTCCTAAGATGGACTTGAGGATCCTCATGGGGGAGACCAGTGAATTGCCCATTAGTATGGAGGATCTGTACCATGCTCTGCTTTAGTTCAAATCTACCCCCGGTGGAGGTTTCCTAATACTGGATGCCAAGTTGGCTATGAGTGGGACTGCCACATCACGGACTGGTCTTGCGGGAACAACCGGTGGTACTCCTTGATTATTTGGGTTCCTTGGGTTATTCACGTTGTCTTGATTATGATCATCAAAGTTTCCCGGAATACCTAACCTCAATTCTCCTTGGCGTCCTTGGTTCATTTTTCTGCACTGGCGTAAAACTCTTTCCGATTCGTTGTAAGGTTCGACAAGATCTCATTTCCGAGCCAAACCTGAAAGTCAAGTACCTACAATACGCAAGCAAAGATCAAGTAATTAATATCTGAATATATTAAGTGTAGACTTATGAAGATTGAATATAAATCAATTCCTAAGTCCACGGCAGCGGCACCAAAAACTTGTTGATCCCCAATATACACACAAGTGTACGTGGTCGCGCAAGTAATATAGATTCTTAAAGAAACGAGTTATTGTTCCTATGGGACTTATGATCAACTTATATTCACTTAATTCTACAACTAAAAGTAGAAAGTAACCTTTCAAGAGTTGATGATTTATTGTTTATCTACTAATAATTATGCACTAATTAAACGTAACTAATTGTGAACAACTTTGATATAATGTTTCAAGCAAGTTAAAAGCAATTCTAGGGCTGAAGCATATCCTGTATCATAATATTAGCTAAGAATTAAATTCAGTTGTCAAGTTACTCGTTTATAGGGTTGATAGTATGATCCGGGTTATACACCTCTCGTCGCCTACCACTGTTAGCTATCTAACTACATCGTTGAGCGGGGATAGATAGACTAACTAGCGAGCATTAAGATTTCATCATATTTCATAACCAAGC